ACGCCACACAAATGAGATGCCCGGGGAAAGCAGCAGGAGCTCTGTAGAGCGAGCAGGGGTCACGGAGGAGACCACAGTCTGGCTGGGGTTTCAGCAGGGGAGGGGAGAACATTCCAGCTGGAGGGAGGCTGGGGAAGGGTGAGCCTGCTGGGGCCGGCTGGCCAAAACACCGCGTGCGTGGGAAAAGAGGAGAGGACAGGTGGTCAGGAGGCAGGTGAGCATCGGAGCAAGACCCCAAGGGCAGGCAGCCCGCGGCCCCCTGGGGCTGTACCTGGCTCTCCTGGACCCACGTCTGGGCTGGCTGAACCACTGCCCCAATGAAGCCACAGCGAGAGTCCCTGCGTGGCAAGGCCACCCAGCTCGTTCTGTAACCTGAACGCCACCCTTCACTCGGGATGGCCGCCCCAAGAACACACACCAAGAATGACAAAGGAGGGGATGCGAGAGGGGAAGCACAGCACGCATTTACCCTGGGGGTGGGGGCACCGATGACAACTCTGGAGACGAGGGTGGCAGGCCGTCAGCATCAGCTTCATGGGAAGGACTCACAGGGTCTTAGCAGGTCTTCTCATTAACAAGCATGCAAGCGACTTCCTTGGCGGACCAGCGGTTAGGACTCTGCTCCCACTGCAGGGGGCATGGGTTCCATCCCTGGTCGGGGAACTAAGATCCCGCAGGCTGTGCGGCACGGCCAAAACAACCCCAAAGAACAAAAATAAAAAAACAAGCATGCAAGACAGTGGACAAGGGTGAGCCAGTCTAAGCTGTGTGTGGGTTCATGATTAATATAACCGCACTGTAACATTTTTGAAACATGAGAAAAGAAAAAAAATACTCGTAACCACACTATCCTAACATATTGGCACAGCTTCCTCTCAACCTGTGCTGTCCAATAGAGTGGTCACATGTGCCACTTAAATTTATCTCAATCAATATCACATAAAATTAAAAATTCAGTGTGTCAGTCACACTAGCCACCTTTCAAGTGTTCCCTAGCTGAGCAAGCCAGTGGTGCTATCTCGAAGGCACAGATCTGGAAAGTTCTAGTGGGCAGCACTGCTTGGCCCACCTCATTCATGCATCAGGCCTTTCCATAGATATCAATCAAAATGTGCACATCATTTGCTTTGTTTGTGATGCACTATAAATTTCCATGCTGCAGCACAGCCTTTACAAATACACATTCTTCTGTCTGGCAGTACCGAGGTTCTGAACATTTTGGAAAGTCAGAGGGTGCCCCCTCCTCAGGAAAATGCACACCCATGAGCACACATACAGGAAGTGGTATAAGACTTCAGGGGGCTCATGGACCCCCATTAAAAATCCCTTGACCTGGAAGATAAACTGTAATGGATGGGTCTCCTTCTCTAGATTCTTCCCCTTTTTCCTCCATTGTAAAGAATAGCATGATGAACATCTTCATGCAAATGTGCTTTATTTCTGTAGTTTAGATTATTTCTTAGGATGAGTTCCGGAAGAGACCTTTTGATTTAGGGAGTGGAGCTGTGTTTCAGCTCATACATATCGCCACACACTTCCCCAAGGGGGAGCAATTGACACGCCACACGGGGGTCCACATGCGGGTCCTGTTATATGACACCCTCATCCAACTGGCCCTTGAGACTGGGTACCTCTCAGGACAGGAGCAAATGATGGGATGGCCACTTATCTTGTCGGTGGTCATCCTCACCTTCATCTCAATCCAAAGCCTTGATTTCTGACACTGTGGAAGTTATGGGGCTGAGAGCCACAGACCCTAAACCCTGCTTGTATAACTCAGATCTCCATGGAAGGAGGGTCCATGATGACAAGTCAGCAGCACATCTCTCCTTGTCCACCCATTTCCCAATAGTCCTTGGACACTCATATAGTCAAGGATTTCCAGCCATCACTGTGCTGGGGCTGGTGGGGTGGCTATGGCAGGTGGCCTTGCCATCTAGGGATGAGGCTGTGCCGGGCTATACCCCGCAGGTAGCACACGAATGGACACTGCCTTTCTAACGACTCAGCCCTTCTGTGAACTACCAGCCACATAACAAAATGTTTAGGGGACTCTCGGATGGGGGCTGCTTCCCCCTCCTCGCCCATCCCCAGCCTCAGGCTCAGCCTCCATGTGTAGTTCTTCAGTTCTGCCACCAGAGGGATCCCATGAGCCAGCCTGCCTGCTCCCCTCCCAGGGAGCCAATTCCCAGTTAAATTAGGAGCCTCTGCTCCAGGAGCCGCTATGAGTGCATTCAAGTCCTCAAAGACAAGCTCCCTGAGGGGTGTCTGGTCCAGCAGATGCCAGCGCTCCAGGACCTCGACCCAGATGCCCTCTGCCTGAGGCACAAGGCCCACGTCTCTCTCTCCATGCTCCCCACCCCAGCAGCGGTTCTCATACCTGGCAGCACTTTGGAAACCCCTTGGGAGGTCAAACACTGCCCAGGCCCGGGCCCCATCCCAGCCATTCTGGTTCAATCAGTTTGTGTGTGGCCTGGGCATCAGGAGCCTTCAAAGCTGCCTGGAGCATTCTCATTTTTCGCTGGGCTGGGAAGCCTTGCTCTATAGCACCCAGTACTACTGACGATTTAGTCCCAATTTCCAGGTCCATCACAGGGCAGGAGCTGTGGGAGGGAGGGAGTGGAGGAACACCAGCTTTGCTTCCAGGTCTCAGATGCGGTGGGGAGACAAAACTGCAACTCAGCTCCGAGAGCAAAGAAGCAAGTAAACATGAACTGCAGGGACGGCCTGGCAGGAAATGTAGATTCCAGGGCCCACCCAGCCCCTTTTGAAATCACATCTGTTTTTTTTTTTAAGCTCCCAGCAACCTGTCAAGCACGCTGGGTCAGGAACCAGGGTGCCTCCATGTGATACCTCTCACATTCCGTCTCAAAGACAGGCTGTTTCCACATCAGCCCCTGACTGAAGCACACGCTCCCAGGAGGCAGGGAGGGACCTCACTCATGGCCATCCTGCCCCAGCCCAAAGCCTTGGCTGAAATGGACTGATTGGGCCAGAAAAGCAAGCAATATGGTATTGTTGGAGCTCCATAGCGAGGGAGGGAGTTCCCTCACAACACTAGCCTTCTGAGCACGTCTTGCAGCTCTAAGCAGAAACATGACCCCTAAATTAAACTGGGTGGAGCAGGGATCTGGAAGGTAAAAGTAGGGTTCCCAAAGCATGACCACAGAAAGGGCTCATGGTGGGGCAGCCAAACTTTCACACCTGACAGACGCCACCCAGCTTTAGCTCAGGAGTCTGCACGCGATACAGAATAATGCTTCCAAATCCAACTGGAGGTGGAAATTGTTGGGAATATTAGCCAGACACACAAACGGAGTGCTGACACACTAGGATGGACCTTAAGGAAGGAGCCAGACACAAAAGGACACAAGTTGCATGATACCATTGAGGTGAAATGTCCAGAACAGGCAAATCCATAGAGACAGAAAGTGGCTGAGGGAGGGGCACGGGGAGTGACTGGTAGTGTGGCACCACCAGGGGGAGTGCTGACAGAGCCCCACTGGCGGCGGGACCCAGGCGTGGCTTTGAGTTATGTTCTCAGCCTGGTTTCCTGGTGGGAAACAGCACACGGCTCAAGGAACCTCATGGGGCACTGGAGTCCTCGGCTACAGCTGACCGCTCCCGTTACATGCACCCTCCAGTACTCGAGATGGATGTTATCAGTTTACCCTTGGGCTCTAATGGACCACATCTTACTGAGGGGAAGAAAACAGGAATGAATCCATCTAAAATTCCTTCCCGCTGAAGCCAGCAAAGCATTCTGCATTCCTCCGCCCTACTCCTTTTCTCCTGGGATTACATCAGCTCATGTGACCTTATGTGCTCTAGGTCTGGTGTAGACCCGGCAGGGTTCGAATCTGACTCGGCTCCTAAATTAGCTGGGTGACCTCCAGCAAGTTCCTTAACCTCTGAGCCTCGCTTTCCTCTTCTATACACAGGGGGCGATGTTAGCACCTACCTCACAGGGTTTGGGATGGATGGTTGGGAGCATGAAACGAATTAATCCATGGCACACATGCCCAGTGCCCAGGCAAAGCTCAGACCATTCACACTTCTCACATGCCCATCTCATCTCATGAGCTCAATGACTGTGTGCTGACTGTCTGATTATGTCAGCACTTACTATCATCACCATTGTTAGCCTAGAAATCTAATGAGAACAAGGACCACAGCCGAGCATGAGAAGGGGCGGCAGGAGTCCCACACCTGCCCATGCCAGGCCTGCCCCGGCTGCTCTGGGTTCATGAGCCTTGTGCACACCTACCTCTGGGAGGCCCTGAGGCCCCCTAACGACGCTGTGTGGTGGCCGCCACGAGACCGCAACAACCCTCCCCAGTCAGGCAGGGGGCAGGTCTCACTGCTGCCCGCCCTGGTCCCTGCCTGTGTGGCCAGTGAGCCCACCAGTGTGCCCAGGCATCTGGTTCCCCTGGGCTCTGGGGCTGTACGGTAAATGCTGCCAACTTCCCCCTGGGGTTGTGTTCCAGCCTCTTACAGCTTGAGGGTGTGAGAAGTAGAAAGGCTACGGATGCCTCTGGAGGGCCAGGCCACGTGCCTGGCTTGGCCCCAGGCAGAGCACAGAGCCTGGCTGGGGACCAGGCCTCCCCCACAAGCCTTCGGCCACCACCCAGACCTCCCTGAGTTTGCCTGGGGGTTGGGGGATGACCAACCATCTCCTCCAGAGATGAGCACAAAAGACACCTGGACTCCTGGGGCCTGGCACCAGGGGGGGTTAGACTGGGTTATGGGGCCAGTCAGACCTGGCAGGGAATGTTTAGTCCTAGGGAAGGGGAGAGAAGAGGGAGGGAACCCCCAGCCCCCCTCCCCCAGACTGTGCATCCATCACAATCCCCTAGGGTGGCGTGAAGTGAGGGGACAGGGTGCGGAGGCTCTGGTGCCTGCGGGATGGGATGCGGGTATCCTCAGCGCTCAGTGAGCAGAGCGGGGACAAATGCCGCTGCTCTTGGCTCCAGAGAGGCAGTGGGGCGTCAGGAACTCACCCGCTCTCGCTCTCCAGGAACACGGAGCTGCTGCTCTCTGCGAGGGCGGCGCTGATGGGCGAGAGGCAGAAGGGTGAAGAGAAGGCCTCTGAGTCCGAGTCGAAGGAGCTGGCCCTGCTCACGCCCTCGGCCGACAGCTCCAAGGAGCCCTCCTCCTCGCCCGCCTCAGGTCGCAGTTCCCGGCCCTCTTCCGTCCCGTCCTGCGAACTGACCGCCGACAAGATTCCCGAGTCGCTGTGGGCTGGCTGAGAGGCCAGGAGGGAGCTGTCTGTCCCCAAGCCCAGGGCCAACTTCTCCCCATCCTCGGGCGAAGGGCTGACACGCTCGGGGTCTCGGATGCTCTGGGCCACCACCAGGATGTCCTCATCTCTGGGGATTAGGGTGGGCCTGGGCTCCATGGGGGACGGCGGAGGGGGGGCCCCCGAGCTCTGGGTACGCCGGCCCTGAGGGCGGGGTGCCTTGCGCACGGGGGAGCTCTCTGGGGTGATGTAACGCAGCGCCTCCTCGTCCTGCTTCTGGATCCGGGAGTTGGGGACCCATGCGAGGATGAGGGTGGCCCCCAGCAGTTCATCCTTCTCCATGTACAAGCACAGGTAACCTAAGAGGGGTCAGAAGCACAGGCGGTTAGGGAGGCCATGCGCGAGGTGCCGCTGGCTGGTTTCTCGTAGGAGCCACACCTGGGGTAGTAAAACTGTGGGGCTGTGCAGAGTAGCCAGGCTCCAGACACAGCCTGGTCCTAAGAAAACACACCTGAGGGATACAGTTGAGCTCAGGATGAATGAGCGCTATGGGCATTTTCTAAGCACACACACCTAGCAGATCCAGTGGGCCCGGGACCTCAAGCAGCAGCCCATCCTGTGCTTTCCCTCCTCCTCTCGTTCAAAGCCCCACCCTGTCCACTGACTGGGGGCTCCAGAGCTTCCCTGCCTCCATCAGCCTCCCGGTCCGGGCAAGCCCAGGGAACTGGGGGGAACACAGGGACCCAGAAGCCCCACTGGCTTCACAGCCTCACCACAATCTTAGGACGGATACAGGCAGCAGATTTTATTGTTATGTCCCAAAAAGAATAAATCCAAGATGAGTGGCATTGGGGCTTTTTCCAGTTGGCTGTGGCTTCTTAGCATTTCTTCCTTACCACTGTTTTGGAAGAAGGGGCCATCTCGATGTCATGCCCTGAACTGCTGACAAAAATGAGAAGAGCGATTCTCCAAGGCTGCCGGCAGTGCGTGAGTGGGCTCTTCGGGCCCCTGACCGCTCAGTCTGGGGTAAGGTGGCCTTTCCTCCTGCAGCACCTGCCATTTCGGGGTGTCCTGACTCCTGGGCCTGTTGCACCAGGTTCCCAGGCCTCCTGGTTTCTGTTCTGAGAAGCCCCTAGGGCAGGAGCTGGGGTCCCTTTCATGCCCCAGGGCTCTGGCTCAACCCAGAATCCTTAGCCTGGCTCCCATTTCCAAAAGAGGTGGGGGGAACTCCAGGGCTGTCAGCCAGTTATGCAGAAGGATAACGTTCGGGTGAGGCCAAGTGTCTCCACACCCGCAGATCACGCGGCTTTGGGTTGGGAAGGGAGCCTGAGACCTCTGGCCCCTCTCCCTTGCCTCCCGTCACAACAGAATGATACCAGAAGCCCTGCAAAGGCTGTTGCTATTTTTTTTGTTTTATGCCCAGAACATGTAACACCCTCAGACCCAGGCCTAGAACCTCTGCACCTGGCACCCCAAGTCCTCGGAGTTGGTCCCGTGGTCAGGCGTCCACAGGGTCAAGGTGACATGCCACCCAGAGCCTGCACCCCCTTCTAGAGCACACTCCAGGGACCAGGACCCTGGAATCCCCTGCCCTCACAGTTCAGAGTCTGCTTCCAGGGCCTGCTCGGGGCTTCCCACCTGAGCTGTATGTGGGGGCTGTGGATGGGGCTTTGGTGTCACCAGGAGAACACCCGGGGCCCCTGTAGTGCAGGAAAGAGCTGGGGCTGGAAGCCGGCTTTCCTGCTTTGGAACCTGGAGGGTCTGGTGATTCTAAGTCTGCACCTAACTGTCTGGGTGACTGTAAAGATATGCTTATCAAGGCAGGAGGACAGAATACTTTTCAAAGAGTTCATTAGTATAATTTAAACTTGCCTTTTTTATTAATTTATTTATTCAGTACTTTGTTGACACATAATTTGCATGCATTAAAGTGCCCAGATCCGATTGTAATTCATAATTTTAAATGTATTGACATCTGATGTGGGACCCCTGTCTGGACTCAGGTGGGCTGCAGCCAGGCTGCAGGTGCACTGGGACTGGGGATACGGAAGCACCTTTCGGCAGCCTAGGGAGGCCACAGGACGAGCCCAGGGCTTGCCCTCACCCCACCTCCATCCCAGGCTGGCATTGGGGAGCACCTCTGAGCACCAGCCTCCTTGTCCGAGAGGCCTCCTTGTCCGGGAGACAGGCCTGCCCAGGCTCCAGCCACTCTCATGAGGTTGTTGTGCAAATTACATAAGGCGATACATTTGTCTGTGGCAAGTCATTTGCGCAAATGACAAAAGACCACACAGACCTCTAGTATCACTAACCCATCTTTTTGATGCTTCCTCAGAGCAGCAGGGCTGAGGGACTCAGGTGTGAGTGCTGGGCTGCCATAACCAGGTCTAACACCCCCTGCCTCAGAACAGTCACAGTCAGTGACACTCCTGCAAAGAGAATCTGTGCCCACTCCCTTAGTGCACAAGGAAGCTTGCCGTTTTGGGGCTCAAAATACAACTGGAGCCCTGGAAAAAATGTAGTTTCTTTCTCTGTGGCTTAGCAAAAGATAGCAAAGTCACTGCCACTACAGGAAAAAGTTTCCCACTCCTGGAACTAAGGAGAGCCATGGGCTGGAGTGTCCTGGGAATGGCTCAGGGTAACTCCGGGGTCCCATGTGGAGGGTCAGGAAAGGACCCTCCTCCATCTCCATCCCTGCGGAGTCTAAGAATTTTCTTCCCCGATTTCAAAACAGAGGATTTAAGCACAGAGGGTGTGCAGGATCAAAGATTTCCACGTCCCCAGATTCCTAGGCCTGCTTCACGCCCCACTCAGTCCTCACCCCACACTCTGGACTGCAGGAAGGGACGAAACCACCAAGACTGTCCTGAGGGCCTCGTTCCTGCACATGCTCAAGGGGGCCTGGCGGAAAGCCTCTCACTGGGCAGGTTCCTGTAGAAGAGGATGCCCCGCTTCCCTCTGGTTTCCCTCCCTGCGCGCAGGGGGCTCCCTGCTCCCAGAAGCCCTGTAGTGCTCAAATGCCCTCTTCTACTTGCAAATTCAGGCTAATTCCCCTTAAACCTTCCTGCCTCCCCTTCATGAGTCAAAGGTCACTGGCCTGCTTCCCAGATGGGGAAATTAGGGCAAACGGGGAAGTGGCGCAGGAGCTGGCTAACTTTACAGAGATCAGCCAGCTCTCCCCAGGTCTGTGACTCCACAGTCCTCCCCTCCCAGGTCTGTGACCCCAAGTCTTCCTCTCCCAGCATGTGAGCCCAGGCCTGTCACCCCAGGCCTCCCCACTCTGAGCTCACCTGGGTGGTGCTCCCCGAGCCCCTGCAACCCTTCCGGCGGGTGCACGCAGACATTGTTCTTGGAGTAGATGATCTCCCCATCCAGGACGGAAGGGGGCCCACCGCTGCCACCGGGGGTGAGGGTCAAGAGGTCCGAGGCTTTGGAGGAGGCCCGGCGAAGGAGGCGGCCCAGAGACATTGCCGGAGGAGCGTTTCCATCCTCTGCACACCTGGGCCCAGGCGGGGCTCTTCCAGACCTGCCTGGGGGAGGAAGACAGAGAAAGGGCATGGCCAAGGTCACGAACTTGGACTGGGTATTCCTGGGGCAGCATCCTACCCCACACCAGTGGGCTGGAAACGGAAGCTGTGGAACCACAGAAGGGGTCCTGCTAGCACAAGGCCATATGGAGGGTGAGCTGGGTTCTCAACAGTGGTGCTACGGACATTTGGGGCTGAGTCATTCTTGGTGGTGGCAGCTGTCCTGTCCATTGTAGGGTGTTTTGCAGCATCCCTGGCCTCCACCCACCAGATTCCACTAGCACCCCTTTCCACTATGACAACCAAAAATGTCTCCGGGCATTGCAAATGTCCCCAGGGGGCAAAATCACCCTGTTAGGAACTGGTCTAGGGAATTCCCTGGTGTCCAGTGGTTAGGACTTGGCGCATTCACTGCCACGGGCCCAGGTTCAATCCCAAGTCGGGGAATTCAGATCCCACAAGCCGCGCAGCACGGCCCAAAGAAAAAAAGAGAGAGAGAGAGAGAACTGGTCTAGAGGAATCTGTTCCCACAGCAGCAATTTCCAGACCTCCAGGACACAGAGTTCACCCCTGTGTCCCTTCCTTCCTGAGATTCTCAGCCGTCTGTGGTGCTTCCCAGGGAACATCCTGGTTCTCCTTCATCCTTCCCACCTTTCCCAGCCTTCTCCACCCTCACTTGCCCCGTGTTTCCTCATCATCCCAAAGCCCAGTCTGACGTCCCAACACGCGCTGGCTGCCCCAGCTGGGAAGGGGTCACAAGGGATAGGTGAAGGACCCAAGTTAACATACAACTCATTCTTTAAAAAAATAAACTAGAAACCAAAAGATCAGATCCAGAATATATACAGAATTCCTAAAGACTCCCTGCAAAAAAAGGAGCAATATCCCAACAGAAAAAGCAGGCGATTCACAGAAGTGGAAACAGAAGGACTGAGAACATGAAATGAAAACCCAACACCCAACACACTGGCAAAAAGCAATTTTAATTCCAGCAAAAATGAAACAAAAGCCCAGGCAGCGATGTGAACCAACCAGACGTTACTGCCAATGGGGCTCATGAGGGCCGCCCACCAAGCTGGGAGTAGGATGACCACAGGTATGATGTCGCCTGTGTCAATGAAGAGATGTGCGTAAAGCTATTTCCTGGTCAGAGATCATGGATGTCCGAGATTTCAGGCCATGCTGGGCAGGGTGCAGGCCAGCCTCGTGGGGCGGGGTGGCTGGGTGGAAGCGTCACAGAGGGGCTGCAACTCAAGCTCTCAGAAAAACAAAAAAGACTTGAAGCCGGTATGATAAAATTATTGACTGGGAATGGATAGACCAAATGGAGTCTGTCCCTACGATGGGATATTATTCAGCCTTAAGAAGGAGGGAAGTTCTGACACCTGCTACAACATGGATGGACCTTGAGGACATGCTCAGTGAAACTAGCCTGTCACAGAAGGACAAATATTGTATGATTCCACTTATATGAGGTACCTGGGATAGTCAAACTGATAGAGACAGAGAATAGAAGGGTAGGTGCCCGGGGCTGGGCGGGGGCTGGGGAGTTAGTGTTTAATGGGGAGAGTTACTGTTTGGGAAGATGAAGACGTTCTGGAAACGGATGGTGGTGATGGTTGCACAACAATGTACCCGAATGTCCCTAATGCCACTGAACTGTGCAGTTAAAAACGGTTAAGAGGGTAATTTTTATGTCATTTTTGTGGGGTTTTTTTAGTGGTCTTTCTTTCTTCTCTTTCTTTCTTTCTTTTCTTTCTTTCCTTTCTCTCTCTCTCTCTCTCTCTCTCTCTCTCTCTCTCCCTCCCTCCCTCCTCCCCCTCCCTCCATTTCTTTATTTTTGGCTGTGTCGGTCTTAGTTGCAGCACATGGGATTTTTGTTGCAGTGTACAGGCTTCTCTCTAGTTGTGGCGAGTTGCAGCGCACGGGATCTTTTGTTGCAGTGTGCAGGCTTCTCTCTAGTTGTGGCGTGTGGGTTTTCTCTTTCTAGTTGTGGTGCGTGGGCTCCAGAGTGCATGGACTCTGTAGCTTGCAGCACGTGGGCTCTCTCGTTGAGTCATGCGAGCTCAGAAGTTGTGGCGCTCAGGCTGATTTGCCTCGAGGCATGTGAGATCTTAGTTCCCCAACCAGGGATTGGACCCAAGTCCCCTGCATTGGAAGACGGATTCTTAACCACTGTACCACCGGGGAAGTCCCTCGTTTTTTTTTTTTGGCCACGCCGCGCGGCTTGCGAGATCTTAGTTCCCCAACCAGGGATTGAACCCACGCCCTCGGCAATGAGGGCATGGAGTCCTAACCACTGGACTGCCAGGGAATTCCCTATGTCATGTATGTTTTACCACAGTAAAACTTTTTTTCCTCTCACTGTTGTGGCCTGTCCCGTTGCGGAGCACAGGCTCCAGACGCGCAGGCTCAGCGGCCATGGCTCACGGGCCCAGCCGCTCCGCGGCATGTGGGATCCTCCCGGACCGGGGCACGAACCCGTGTCCCCTGCATCAGCAGGCGGACTCTCAACCACTGCGCCACCAGGGAAGCCCAGTAAAACTTTTTTGAATAATCAACTGGAGGCGGTTCTCAGGCTAAATTATATTGTTCTTTGCACCCTCTACACTCTGTACATTTACACTTAAATCCAGGGCTGATTTAGGATGTTCCCTAAATGGAGTTCTTTCTGTGTCCAGTGCTTGGATGGGTTCTTGGGGCAGAGGGCGGGGGCTGGGGGTCCAGCCGGCTCAGCACGGTAGGGGTTGTCTCAGTGCTAATTTCCTTCAATGTCCTGGGACCAGGCAGCTCAATGCTGGATCCTCAGGCCCTTATGGCTCTCTGGGTGTCCCTCTGTGCCCCCTTGCTCTGATCTCCCATCTCTTTGCATATTTCCAGTCGCCTCCATGGCTACTAACTCTCCCAAACACAGCATCCTTCTAACAGTTCCCTGCAGGCCCAAGAGTCACCCTTCCCATTCCTGCATCTTTGCCCAGGAAAATCCATCACTCTCTTCTCTCTCATTGCTGAGGTTCCCAACGTCAGGATGACCTTGAAAATCACTAGCCCTGGAGACTCAGGCCCAGCTGGGGTCCTCACCTCCTCAGCCCTGAGCCACAGAAGCCCCTCCATTCTCGGCCATATCCAGGGCCCCGAATCCACCCCTTCTCAGGCATCCCCCATGCCTGAGACACCACTTTCAATGTGGGCTGCAGAATCAAGTTGATCCCTTGGCCCAGGGGACGGCAAGCTGGTTCTGTAAAGGGCCAGACAGGAAATATTTTTGGCTCTGTGGGCCCAGCGGTCACTGTGGAGACTACTCGATTCCGCCCTGTTGTGTGAAAGCAGACAGTACGTGGGCAGGTATGACTGTGGTCCCGCGAGACTTTATTAAATAGATACTCACGCCAATTCCATATAATTTTGCCATTACACAAGAAAATTCTTCCAGTTTTTTCACCCATTTAAAAACCTAATAACCATCCTTAGTTTGCGCACTGTATAAAACAGGAAGAGGGCTAGATTTGGTCCACGGGCGATACGTGGCCGACCTCTGGCTCAGACCACTTTCTGGATACTCGGGGCAGGGCTGCTCCTCGCTACCCAAATCCCCTCCGGGCCCACCTCTGGGGAAGCCTTGTGGCCTCCCCAGGTCGAGGGGGCGTCTCTCACTGTCTTAACCACTGAGTCCTGTCTGAACACACAAGGCACATTACGACGCTTGACAACCAATGTTCGAAGCTTAAAATAAATCACACTGGAACCTACACATCAAAATATGTGTTTTCCTTCCAATTAATCATCTGGTAAAGCTATATTCTTTTATTCTAACGATGACTTCACTCCATTGTCTGTCCATTCTAAATATTTTTAGAATTCAAGAATCATTCCAGAATTACAAGATCAGTTAATGAGCTATACAAGAAAAAGAATTCCCTTCTCCAGACCAGCACTGCCCAGAAGACATACAATGAGAGCCTCATATGCAATTTTAAGTTTCCTAGTAGCCACATTTTTAAAAAGTAAAAAAGAAATGGGGGAAATTCACTTTAATAGAATATTTTTAGTCAAGCCACTATATCCCCTAGAGTATCATTTCAGCATGTAATCAGCATGGAAAAATTACCCATGAGCTATTGTACATTCTTTAAACCTCCAGAGTCTGGTGTACGTTTTGCACTTAAGCACACCTCAGTTCACATCAGCCACCTTCCAGGTGCTTAGTGGCCTCCTGGGGCCCGTGGCCTCCTGCTGGGTGAGGCTGGGGCAGGTCTGGAGCCCCACCTCCTTCTGGGCCTCAAATGGTATTACTTAGTTTAATCGCCCTAACCTCCAGAGCGTGCTGCAAACAAGGCTCAGCTGAGTCCAAAAACCGCACCATCTTTAAGCTAAGACGGTTTGCCACCACTGAGGATAATCAAAAGAATGTGCTGGAAGCTCTGAAGGAGATTCCAAAATACAAGTGTTCACAATATAGCATTTGCCCCACATCGGCTGTGAAACCCCACTGCAGCTCTGGAAGGTACATCCTAGAAGCGCAGTTTTGCAAACGAGAAAACAGGGGCCGCACACCCCAAGTCAGCCAGTGAGCGGACACACCTGAACATGAGACCTTTGTCTTCTGTGCGTGGAATTCTGGCTCCTACCCCTGCCCCTGTAACCTGGGTGAGCAAGGACTATCCCCCAGTTCCACCCGCAGGTTGTTCAGTGGGGGAGACAACGTGCCTCTGGGTAGTTCCTTTGTGAGCCTATTTCATCTCAACTAAAACTGGTTCCCGACCTCTGCTCTCTGTCAAACTGGGAGTGGAGAATCCTTGCCCTATTTTTTAAAAGCTTTTTCTTTTTTTAGATTACGAAACGTGTTCAGAGAAGTATAAAGAATACATGTCCCTTAACTCACACCATCCAAAAATAATCTGTGTATTTTCTACTATCTTCTGTGTCTATCTTAACAAAACAAAACCACCCACTGGAATTATACCATACCATTCTTTCAGTTATAACATACATATATTTTCCCA